TTGTTGGTACAGGTGGATGGACAGTTGTATATCCTGCCAATGAATGCAGCTGATGGGAAATTCTGGATCACCCAAGAAGGGAACAACATCATTCTCTACACAACCTTTGGCCTCACAGTCCTATATGATACTTCTTCATATGTTCATGTTACTGTCCCCAGTACGTACAGGGGTCATATGTGTGGCCTGGCTGGCAACTTCAACGGGGATCCAAAGGATGACTTCATGCTAGCTAATGGAAAACTCACTGAAAACGTGGAAGAATTTGCAGCTTCCTGGAAGATCCCTGTGAATGGTGTAATTTGTTCTGATGGCTGTGGGGACAAATGTCCCATCTGCAACAAAGCGCAGAAAACAAAATATGAAGCTGGGAACTTCTGTGGAATGATCCCATCCAAGACAGGTCCATTCATAGACTGCCATTCGTTGGTGAACCCTACAGAATATTTTGAACACTGTGTGAATGAGGCCTGTACAACCAATGAGGTTCAAGAATCTCTTTGTCGAAGTCTTCAAGCCTATGTAGCAGCTTGCCAGGCATCTGGCGGCAACATTAGAGCCTGGAGAAGCTCTTCCTTCTGCCGTAAGTTTGTAGGAAGTTACTTTCCATAAGTAGCCAACTCTCTGCCTCAAATGTCTTATTTTATCCTCCTATGCCTTGCCTTACTATTCTTATTAATGGCTGAGTCTATCCAGTTTACAACCATTAAAATCTTCTGGTGCTTAACCAAGTTTGGATGCACCCTGATTCAAAGAGATTCCAGAGTTGTTTCAGCAATTACTGTGTTTTCCCCAAAATAAAACATGTCCCAAAAATAAGCCCTACCATGGTTTTTGCATGTGTGCCCAATGTAAGCCCTATCCCCCAAATAAGGCCTTCTTAAGCGCCTGCACAGCCACATGGCCACCCATTCCATCTGGTTGCTTGTGGTGTCATGGCTGCAAGACCTCCTGTCCCGCCATGAGGAAGCAGAAGAAGTGAGCCTTCCATGTACTCTTAAAGTACATGAGAAAAAATAAGACATTCCTTAAAAATAAGCCCTCGTGCTGTGCTTGCTTCGGCAGCACATATACTAAAATTGGAATGATACAGAGAAGATTAGCATGGCCCCTGCACAAGGATGACACACAAATTTGTGAAGCGTTCCATATTTAAAAATAAATAAAAGTAAAAATAAGCCCTAGTGCTTATTTTGGAGCCCAAAAGAAAATAAGACTGAGTCTTATTTTGGGGAAACATGGTGCTTGTTCCAAGAATCCTTAACTTTATTGCCTAGTTGCTAATAATATTATACTCAAGTTCTTTGTTGTGTCATTTGTCCCAATGTGAAGGAGGAGGGAAGGGTAGTAGGCCTAATGTTTTGGTTAGGTTCTCAACCACATCTTTGATTTTTGCTCCAGGGAGACAACATACCTCTCTAGATTGTACTTTCCTTCCCTGGAAGATGTGATTGTTAGTATTAGCACTTCATTAGAGCAGTGTTTCTCAACTTGGGGGCCATTTTAGGTGATGTGGACTTCACTTCCTGGAATTCCCTAGCCACTTTAACCTATTTGCTTCTTCTGTTTCCACAGCTCTCACCTGTCCGGCCCACAGCCATTATGAGCCATGTACCAGAACTTGCGATTCCACCTGTGCTGCCTTATCTACTCCAAGTCAGTGCTCAGGGAACTGCTTTGAAGGCTGTCAGTGTGATGAGGACTATGTGTTTGATGGATCTCACTGTGTAACCATGAAGCAATGTGGCTGCACTTATCGCGGAGCCTATCTCAAGGTAATTTCTCTCTCCCTTATGTGGCTGAGAGCAGAAAGGGGCTATTTCTGTTGAGATGGAGACTCAGAATGATTCCTGACAGACTGTAGGTACTTCTCGACTTACAGCTGTTCATTTAGTGACCATTCAAAGTTACAAAGGCACTGAATAAAGTGACTTATGGCTGTTTTTCACAGTTAGGATCTCTGCAACATTCCTACGGTCATGTGATCAACATTCAGATGTTTGGCAACTGACTCATATTTATAACGGTTGCAGTGTCCTGGGGTCATGGGATCACTTTTTACAACCTTTTGACAACCTAAGTCAATGGGCGAGCCAGAATTACTTAACAACCCGGTTACTAACTTAACAACTGCAGTGATTCACTTAACAACTGTGACAAGAAATGTCATAAAATGGGGCAAAACTCACTTAACAAATGTCTCACTTAACAACAGAAATTATGGGCTCTGTTATCTTTGTAAGTCAAGAGCAAACTGTATTTAGGCAGGGAAATAACTTAAAAATGAGACTTTGGGACAGAAAAGCGCCATTGTTTGGTAATCTGCTGGACAGATGGCTAAACTGGCAAGGTTGTGTAAGCCCATAAACACCATATATATATTTAAATGGTACTTTTATTATTATTTTATTATTTTATTTTATCATTATTTTATTTCATTTTTCAAAGTTTTGAAACCGTCCATCTACCTTTATCTACGCAGGACCATCAAACAATAGCTATTATGTTAACTCTTCTGGCCCCACTGTTGATGTCCCTGGTTATGGGACCTGCAACATGCATTTATGTCTACAATTAATTTAAAAATTGGAAGGAGGGAGGGAAGGAGGGGATGCTTTTCTTTTCTCATTGTAACCAACTCTGGGACTTTGCTCAACAGATCGGCGAGCACATTTACTCGAAGGGCTGCACAAAAAAATGTACCTGCCAGTCAACAGGCCAGCTCCAGTGTAAAGAAAGCAGCTGCCAGCTTGGAGAGGCCTGTGCCCTTCGGGGAGGCGTGCACGGCTGTGTGACGCTGGAAGCTCAATGCAAACTCACTGCCCAAGCGCATATCACTTCTTTCGATGGTGCCTCAGGGAGGTATTCCTGCAGTGGAGTCTATGAAATAGCTTCTCTTTGTGACCAGAACTCTGCCTCCTGGTTCAGGTTGTTAGCGAGCATCGAAAAGGATTATACGAAGCAGATGGTGGTTGGAAAATCTATCTACTTTTACTTTCGAGGTGGATTCATCCAGATTATAAATGGAGAAAGGTTATGGGTAAGTGAAAACCAAGAGCAAATTAAGAACTAATGGAACACTTAGTAGCCTTCAACATACATTCTTCAATGTACGCTCAACCCTAACACACACACACACACACACACACACACACACACACACACAGAGTGAGAGAGAGAGAGAGAGAGAGAGAGAGAATCCTTCATAATTTGTACATATTTTAATAATAAAGTTGCATTTTAAATTTGGCAGTAACTGAAGAAAGAAAAAGTCCCCCTTGACTCAAGCTAGAATCTGGTTGTATTAATGGACACTCCTCTTTGCCACTGGCATCTTCAGGAAAAACTTTTCCGCTGTCATGTTCAGGAACACCTTTTGACTTTTCAGTAATAGGGCAGTTGTAAGATCCCCTGGGAAAGCCCTTTCAATGACTTTAATTTTTTTTATTAGATTATAGAATAAAATACAAAAATACAAAAGCAAATAGTAGGACACTGTGGGGAGGAGAAGGGGAAAGAAAAATGAGGAGGGGAGAGAGAAAGAGAAAAGATTGATTTCCAACTCCCTCTGATGCAGTAGAATAAGGCATTGCCCCTCAACCGTTTACTTTTCCATGATAGTATAAACTAGACATTTCTATCAATCTAATCAGTAAAACCCAAAATGAAAGTTTTATTTTTCCCCACCTCAAGGAAACCCCTTTCAATTACTAACCAAGTTGCCATTGTTTAGCTGCTGAGGACTATTTGAGTAGACACAAAGGAAGGAAAGAAATGTTTAAAATGGGGGTAGCAGGGATGTTTTCAGGTTGTTAACTCTTTTCCTACCTCAATCTTGTTTTCCAGGTAAATGGTCAGAAAATAACGCTGCCATATGAGAACAGCCCTGTGTCCATGAGGAAAACTCAGGATAAAATTGTTATTGACCATGATTCCCAAGTGCAAGTTTATCTCCATCCTGATGGGATGGTGACCATGACAGCCAAGGAGACCCTCAGAGGGAAGCTGTGTGCCGCCTGTGGAAACTTCAACAAGGACCATTTGGATGACTTGAAGCTGGCCAGCGGAGAGCGAACAAATAATTTTGATGAAGTACTCAAGTCCTGGGAGGCGGAAGACTTCATTTAAATTGCTTCTAGGCTGTTCACCTATGTGCTTGCGATCTGATGTAACCACCCAACATTTTGCTCAAATACTTGTTTAGGAGAAATAGCATTCTTTCTTATACTTTAGGGATTTAGAGAGGCGTTAGCCTGAGACGCTTCAGAATGTAATCTTCCTGTTCAGGACTTCATCTCCTTTTGCCCAGGTTAACAATTCCTGCACCTCTCTGTCAAAGTTATCTTCCTTACCCTCTACATGATGCGCCTTAGCTGCAAGAATGCATTGTTTATGGTTGAATATATTGTGCAAATACAGAAAATGAAATAATCCAGTAAAGAATTAAATGTGTTATGTGAATTCAGGCTATACGTTATCATTATGATTTGAATATGCAGGAGAACAAACTACCAAACTGCATTTTTAAGCTTAGCCTGAAGTTGATCCAAGTTATACTTAATTTTACCTCCAGCAAAGATTGGTGGGAAATATTACTCATCATACTAGATAATCATAAAGTAGTTAGGCAAAAAGCTTTGTCCTTCCCTATGTTCCTCCCACCCAAAGGTTCCACCTAAATTGCCACTTTCCTTTCGTTTAATATTTCAAACTGCTTGCTTGTGCAGCACACATTATTCACTAAATATTACAATAACTCTGTGCACTAATTCATTCAGAGATTTAACTGATGCAAATGTGAAGGAGAAACAACTAAGATATTGTTCACATTTCAAAATGTAATAAAGTTGGATTCGATAAATCAATGCTGCTTTCTCCTTTAAAACAAAAACAAAAACATTACTCATACACAGGGAAATGCTTCAATATTAGGCTGCTCACACTGATCAAAAAATGATTACAAATTATAAAGTCCCATATTATTGCACATCAGCTGAACTAGAGATCATTCATAATCTATATACTAGTAAAACTCTCTAAAGGTCTGTTTGTAACCCTTAAGTGGGTGAAATGGTTCATCGTAGGGCAACAATTTTTGAACCAAAATACTTCAAATGGGCTAACCTAAATAATATGTTAATCCTGGAGCCACGACTTCCCTGAAATTGAAATTTTGCAAGTTTTATAAAACAATTGATGACATAAAAATCATAAAACATTTTATGTCATTATGCAAATGTCATAAAACTACTATACAGTTCAATGTGGACTATTTTCAAGGCAGATTCATCTGTGAATTTATCTCAACTTTCCTATTCAAGTCAGACATTAGAAGTTCTGTCATTCTTGAAGTTACCGAAGAATCTGATGAGGAAATCTCTCTGAAAATATGACCCAACAGGTCTTGGGTAGTCTGCTATTTCTTATACTTTGACCGAAGTCACACTATTAATTCATCAGGACAACAATCCTGTGCCACAATTACCCGGAGTATATAATAAAACTCCATTTTGCAACAATAAATTCTACGAGCCTGAAAGAAAAGACCAACAATGCAATTTTTAATAAAAGAACTGAAACATTCAAAATAAAAATTATCACAAAAGGTGGAATAAGGCACTGCTAGGAGTCCTAGTTCAAAGTAAGAGATATTGGGCAGTTTTATCTGCTGGTATCTGTGTTTGTGTACATATATACCATATAATTATTGATTGATTCGTACAATGTGGGTTACCATAATACAATTTACCAAAGCTGCCTAACCACTACGAAGTTTAACCACATCCATCTTTTAACATTTCTGCAGTTATACAATCTACACCTGCATCTTTATCAGCGTTCCGCATTATCATGGCATTTATGATTTGTCTATCGTGTTTTTCTTAACCAACATGGCATTTAAGTCTATTTTGAGGGATGTCATCGCTGTTCCCATACATATCTCTAAAATACTCTCCCAGTATGATCTCACTTGGGCTTGTTCTCAAAACTTTTAATCAGTTTTAATTCATTCACTCTGTTGGTGATCCCTTGTTTCCCTAATTTTTTCTGGAAAATGTCCAGTCCATCATATTTTTCCCTAAAATTATTGAACTGCTGCAGTGACCAGCAGTCAGGAAGGTTGTCTTCAATGTCTGATTCAGTTCTTCTAGCACCTGATGATGTGCTGGCTGTTTCTTCTGGTCGTGGTGTGGATGATGTGCTGTGGATGATAATTACAACTATCAGTATTTCTCTCTATCGGCTATGGTTTCTAGGGCTGCGGGAAGTTGCTGTTCAGCAAGAACTGAAGGGTCATACAGTCCAAACTTTGCTGGGAACCCCTTCAGAACATGTACTGAGACGGGATCCCGTCTCCTCCACTGTGAAGTGCGCAAGTGATAAAGCTCACTCAATCAATTCTGATTTCACAAGATCTTTTTATTTCTTGAGAGGTTGGAATTGATTGAGTGAAACGGATTGGAGGTGGCTGGGATGACTGTGCACCTGCCCAGAGAGGGCTTTGCATGCCATGTCTGGCACTCGTGCCATAGGTTTGCCATCACAGCTCTATAATGTCATTTTGAGGGTAGAAATTGAAACAGTTTATGTCCTGGCTGTGAGGGGTGTGTAAATATTTTCACAGCCCTCTTTGACTCGTGCAGTATACAGGTCCTCGATTGAAGGCAGGTGGGTAGTAATTGTTTTTTCCGCAGCCCTAATTACTCTCCGAAGTCTGTGTCTGTCCTGTTGGGTTGCAGAACCAAACCAGACAGTTATAGAGGTGCAGATGACAGACTCAATCATTCCTCTGTAGAACTGGATCAGCAGCTCCTTGGGCAGTTTGAGCTTTCTGAGTTGGCACAGAAAACATTCTTTGTTGTGCTTTTTCGATGATGTTTTTATGTTAGGTGTTGATTTTAAGTCAGGAAATATGATAGAACCTAGAAGCCTGAAGCTCTCTACTATTGATATTGTGTTGTCTATATTGTAAGAGGTGGTAGTATGGGAGGGTTTCGACTAAAATCTACCACCATTTCTACAGTTTTGAATGTGTTTAGTACAAGATTGTTCTGATCACACCACAAGGCTAGCTGTTCAACCTCCTGTCTGTATGCAGATTCGTTGTTGTCTCAAATGAGACCAATCACTGCTGTATCATCTTCAAACTTCAGTATTTTAATTGAAGTATTGGCTGAAGTGGAGCCTCCGGAGGCCTCCCCTGGTCTGTTACAGGCTGAAATAGAGCTTCCGTGGGTCGGTATTTAACTTCAGCCCACATAATCTGATCAACTAGAGTTCATAATGGTTGTTTGCACAAGTTTGTGGAGAAACGTACACAGCAATTAGGAGAAACGTGGAGAACTCTCGTGGAGAATAAAATGGTTTGCAATTGATAATTAATGTCTCTAAGTCCACATCACATAATTTCTTTAGTATAGTTATATTTTGGCACCAGCGGCTGTTGATATATAAACATAGGCATCCAGCAGAACCTGTGGAGTGGCAGCGCCAGGGGACACAAAGCCAAGAATCACCTGAGGTTGATCAAATACAGGGACTGCCTAAACAGTCAGATGAGGATAATGTCAGGTCTCCCAGCACACAACCCCCATCAGACATGTAGAGTGGAGAACAGAACATAAATGTCCTATAAGGCTCCTTGCCAAACAAGGACAGATGGCTGCAGCCTGGTTTAAGAGGAAGCCTCATTGGAATCAACTGTGTAATTTCTGGATTGTGTGTGAGGTTTGTGTGAATTATACTTGTAAAAGTTTGATCCCTGGGCCAGCTGACTACCCTGACCTGGGTCATGGAACTCTGGCCTGAATTTTGATTATTCTTCTGTGTATCCCCATTAAAAGCAAAACCTTCTTTGGGGGATTCTGTTTTGATTGGCATTCCTTGTCTGCTGTTACGTTCTTGGCCTTGAATAAATTGCTAATTTCCATAGCAACCCTCCATATGAATGTATAACTGAAGCTTCAGAATCATTTGGTTAAGATGGACAGCTATGTAAATTACATAAATAATATACATATAAAAGGAAGATACATGGTTTATATCCTTAACACAGATAATAGAGAATGGGATAAATTGTAGAGCTATAATTCCACTTTGCTAATGAATTTAGCCATAGTGTCATGAAAAGTTTAATTTAAATTAGGATGATGCCCAAAGCATCAGAGGGGAAAATGGACACCCTTCAGATATTTTGGACTATAACACCCCTAATAGAAGAGCTGGAAGATTATGTGAGCTGTAGTCTTAGCCATCTGGAAGGTGTTAGGTTAAAGTCATGAAAGCAACAGGCCACAAGCCTCCAATCCCTATCTTATCCAGGGTTACCTTTATCCATGGCTTGTAGCAAGTGACCCTTGAGGGAACTATCAAATACACAATGGAAAAATGGTATTTTTCTGTTTAAAGATGACAAAATCATAGGCACAAGTTATTGGATGCTTTTACAATATCACAGCTGTTGCCCCTAAAGGAGATCGCAAAGTTTGAAGAACTAGGCATCAGTTATACTTTCTTTTTCAAACGAAAAAGCCCTAAAGATTTTCCTGTTTTGGAACTCATTAATACATCTGGCTGGGCAGCACTCCAAGGATTTTAAGTTTCCATCCAAACAACTAGAACACCCAAAATTATTTTCTTTTCTTTTACAAACTGGGCTATCAATGGTAATGCTGTTAAGCAGGTTTTCCATTTTAAGTATTTAAGCATTCAATTTCAGAACACGGGTGCATGGACTAGACATCAAACCCAGGTGCTGAATTCGGCCTCCTGTAGTCACCAGCAGATTTTAAGATTTTTTTATACCCAAGGAGGCCAGTTTATTCCTTCTGCTCTGCATATTTACAAAGCCAAAACTTTGGCTCAAACTCTTTACGGAATTCCCATATGGATACGGGACTTCAAGGATTGTATTGAAAGAACCCAGGCTGTTTTTCTTAGACAACTTCTGGGTCTTCCTCCTTGTGTTGGCTTTGCTCCGATGTACCTGGAACTGGGCACTCGATCAGTCAAATGTATGGCGTGGATTAACACCTTTAAATGGTGGTTTCGGGTGCTCTTTCTGGCAGTTCCTGGTAGCTACCTCTCCCTGGCGTTTGCTGACTCTCATATTTCTCGTTGGGAGAGGGAGCTGATGAAGAAATTACACCTGCTAGGTTTTACGGGGGATGGCCTGGGAGATTATGACCTTAAGGATGCCCAATTTAGGGTAGTCCAACGACTTGTGAACATTGACTTGCAATATCTACGAGCCCTCTGATCTTCAGCCAATTTAATAATTACGGACTGAGGATGGCTTCCTATTTTTACATTCTAACCATTCCCAAGTATAGAAGAGCTTTCTCCCTAGCTTGCTTTAATGTTCTGCCCTCAGCACTACTGGATGGGCGATTTAAGAGGCTCCCAATTAATGAGCAGCTATGCCCCTGTGATAGAGCTGAGGTTGAAACTGTGGAGCATGTCCTTTTATATTGCTCTATGTATAAGCAGGCAGATCTAAGTTACTGTCTTTCTTTGAAACAGACCCTTCTAGACCCAATGTTAGTAATTTGTTCTTATATTGTCTAGGGGATGGCTCCTCATACATCACTTCTCAGGTTTTTTTAAGAGCTGTAACCATCAGAGGAGAACGCTGTAATTCCCCTTAGTCAAGTTTTTGGCGACCAATTGTTCGTGATGAATTTTCCCATGTTCTTCTTTTGTTGTACTTGTGTTTTGGTCTGTGACCGCAAATAAAGTATTATTATTCTTTTCTTTGACAGTTTAGAAATATCCACAATGACCGTTGCTATCTTTGTTTGGAATCAATCAGAATCAAATATCCCATTAAAAAAAATAATCT